GATTTATGCAGCAGCCAAATGGCTCGCTCACCACTTTAATGCCAGTGGCTCACAAAGTAGAATTTTTGCTCACAGGACTCCACAGCTTAGAGGGAACATTGCTCCAGACTACAGAGATCAGTTCCCCTGGAGAGCATGCCAGTTTTGGAGGGTGGATTCAATGACATTATACCTCACTAAGGTCCCTCCTCTCCCCAAATCCTGCCTTCCCCAGGCTCTGCCACCAAATCTCCCCAGGAATTTCCCCTCCAAGAGTTGGCAACGCTATGAATTGCTATAGAAAACCCACTTAAGTTAGGGGAAGCCGTCAAACATTGGTGAATGGAGTGGTAGGACAGAGGCTTTTGTCTCCAATAATGGCTGCCATTGGGGGCTCATAAGCAGGTGGGGTTACCACTTTCAGGTGGCACCCGGAGAGCTCCACTTATTACAATTGATCTCCAGGCGACCAAGATCAGTTCTCCTGGAGAAAATGGCTGCTCTGGGGGGTGGACTCTGTGACATTGCGTCCTACTGAGGTCCCTCTTCCCCTCAAACCCCGCCCCTCCCCAGGGTCCACCCCTAAACTCTCCAGTTGTTTCCCAGAGCTGGCAACCAGGGTTCCCTCTAAGCCAGTGATGGCAAACCTTTTAGAGACCGAGTGCCCAAACTGCGACCCAAAACCCACTTATTTATCGCAAAGTGCCAACACGGCAATTTAACCTGAATACTGAAGTTTTACTTTATTTCTATATTAACTTAAGATGATCCAAACAAAGTAAGGAAAGCAACCCCAAATGCTTTCATTTACTTAAAATTATTTGGCAGAGAATTCGACACTTTAATGATGGTCAGGGCCTGGCTGGGGCAATGGCACGCGTGCCCACAGAGAGGGCTCTGAGTGCCACCTCTGGCACCCGTGCCAAAGGTTCGCCACCACTGCTCTAAGCTGAGTTAGTGTGAGCTAGCTCACAGTTTTATAGCTTCTGGCTCACGCATTTCTGTCGTGGCTCAGGAAGGATGGCTCCAGAGCAAACTAATTTATGCAGTAGCCAAATCGCCCGCTCACAACTTTCATGCCGGTAGCTCACAAAGTAGAATTTTTGCTCACAAGACTCCACCGCTTAGAGGGAGTATTGCCGGCAACCCTATGTAGCACTTATCCTCTGGGCCTTGTTTCAAGTATCTGTCACAATCTGTACATGTTCTACTTAGCTATTGTGGCCACTGACAGCACTAGTCTCCATGAATCCAGGTCTCGGAAGAAACTTGATTAGGGACAGGGTATAACATGACAGGAGCTGTGGTGGCTCAAGTGGTTAAGACGCTGAACTGCAGGCTGTGGAAGGTCGGTAGTTCAGCAGTTCGAGACCCGAGTGTGCCGCATGACGGAGTGAGCTCCCGTCTCTAGTTCCAGCTCCTGCCAACCTAGCAGTTCGAAAGCAAGAAATGGCAAGTAGATCAATAGGGACCACTTCGGTGGGAAGGGAACAGCGTTCCGTGCGCCTTGGTGTTTAGTCATGCCGGCCACATGGCCACGGAAACGTCTTCGGACAGCGCTGGCTCTTCGGCTTTGAAACGGAGATGAGCACCGCAACCCTAGAGTCGGACTCGACCGGCTTTCGAGCAAGGGAACCTTTACCTTTTACAACATGACAGGGAAACACTAAAATATAGAGTTGGGTGGAAAGGACCCTGAAGAAGGTGTGCGGTCTGCCTGACAAAGAGCTCCGTGTGACTCCGATGCTGACACATTCCTCCTTGACTGACAGCTGCCGCTCCGTGACCCAGCTTATCCCCCCCCCCCGCTTTCGCCGTTCCCACTTCTGTGTCTTTAGCCTCCCGACCGGCCACCGGGGTCTGTTGACGGAGACGTCGGCCCGGAAACGTCCGCGGCCTCGGTGCCTAGGAAATGAGAATCAGAGCAGCAGACTCCTGAAGATGTTATCTTTTAAACTTGACTCAATTCTGTGGGAATCATAGCTCACATAGCATCTATGTATAGGTGATCAGATTTAGTACTGACTTAGTTGGTTACGACTGTCGATGTATGTTGTAAAAATCTGTATCGATGACTAACTGGTTGGTTTGTAATTTTGGATTTTCAGGACAGTTGTATACTGTTTTGCAGTTATTATATTTCTTGATATGTTATACTTCCTCTTAATAAACATAAAAAGAAAAAAGAAGAAGAAAGAAAATAAAGGAAATGAGATCCGTCCCATCCCGCCGGTAAATAGGATGGAGTCCCCGGTGTTTACACACACGAAAGGAGATGGCGGGGGAGGCGGGAGGCGGCCCCTGATGTCACGACTGCGGCATTCAGACAACTGGCTCCCGGCCGCGACCGAGTGGCTGGGGAGGGAGGGCCGGTGTGGGGGGGAGACGGCTCCAGTCCGAAAAGAATTACTGGAAGCCGGTTTCTATAAGCAGATCCCCGTGCTCCAGGGGGCAGAAGAAAGCCCGCCGCCGTCCTGGAGGGGGAAAGAAACAATGGCTTCTGGAAAAGGCCGCGGGATAAAAATAGAAGCCGGCCTCCGCCAACGTGATCCCGGGTTGACTCGAGGGGGTCCCACCGCCGTCCCACGGAGTCTGGTTTCCTCCCTCGTGCATGCCCCTGCTACGGGGAGCGGGCTGCGTTTGGAGAGAGTGTGGTTGTGGAGAGACTGCCCGGGCCCGTCTCTCTCTTCATATTTTGTTCTCTTTGGCTTTTGGCTGCTTTTCCAGGGGCTTCTGACAGGATCCCTTGGTCAGGAGGCTGACATTGGTTCCTTATTCGCACTTCCTTATTCGTTACTTATTTGTTACTTATTTGTTACTTATTCGTTACTTATTCGTTACTTATTCGTTACTTATTCGTTACTTATTCGTGCAGTCATTCAGAAGCACTAAGGAGCTCTGAACCCCAAAATAAGGTCTGGACCACCACATATCATATACCCCCACATTCACCGGACCCTCCCCTTCCAGAAACTCATTCAGAAAGGCAATGACCTTCACCATAAGGACACAGTCTCCAGAGAGCGGGGAGATATAGGCCTCGGGGAAGCCCTGCGAACAGAAGCTCGTGGCATCAGAACCGGTGTTTGGACCGGTGATCTCTGCATGTCACCTTGCAGGGCACAGTCCCCAGAGCGTGGGGATGTGTCATTTGGGGTGGTTCAAATATTTTTTTTGGGGGGGGGGGTGCAGCCTGGCCCCAGTGTATGCTTGTGTGATTGTCCTAGGGGCACGCACTTTGGAGCAGCTGGCACCAGACCCGTGCTTTGGACAAGCACACAGAATGTGTCCCCTGAGAACTGAAGCTCGTGGCATCGGAACCGGTGTTTGGACCGGGCATCATTGTATGTCACCCTGCAGGGCACAGTCCCCAGAGCCATTGGAGATGAGCACTGCAACCCTAGAGTCGGACTCGACTGGCTTTCGAGCAAGGGAACCTTTGTTGCAGTATAGAAATTTTGCAAAGGAATGGATGCTAACTTGGGAGAAGCTAGGCTTCAAACGTGCCAAGAATTCTAGGTCCCTGAGACAAATGCGTTCATAATGGCATGTAGGACCCATTTCCACACTGTTGAGATTACAGCCATTCTCCACACATTCAGAAGCCTTCTCACTTTTACTGTGACATTGTTTTAATGTCTAAATGGGAGACTGGTTGGGTTCCGATCAACCCACGTTTTAACGATCTGACATGCTTATTGTCACATCCTTGTTACTACTTCACAATATTCCAGATGGAGCCCTGACTCCGACAGCAGACTGCGGATTGCTCTGATGTTCTCAGTTTATTTTGTGTGCCAGAAAACTCCACACGAAGCAAACAAAAACAAGTAAATTGCAAAAAAACAAGTGTGGCATCCAGCAAACAATGCAGACCGGCCTGTTCACTTAAGAACAGGGGTCATTTCGTAGAAAAAGAGGTGCAGGAGCTCATTAGCATAACTCATTAGCATAACTCATTTGCATATGCCACACCCCCTGACATCACCGGAAGTGTGTCAGAAGGCAACACCCACCACTCAGGCTCTACTGGACTGTTTTGGATTGCTAGCTATGGGGGGGGGGACACACACAGATCTGTCCTCGCAGAGGAGGGAGAGCTTGTACCTGAATAAAACCTGGTCTTAAAGGTGCCACTGGACTGTTTTGGACGGGGAGGGGGGCCAGGGGGAGCTCTGCAACTTACCTGGCTGCTTCTTGCTCTGACTGAGGGCTGCTGGGAGCAGGGGGTGGGGCTTGTTGCATGTGCCCGCCCCCTGGGCTCTTTACTGCCGGAGCTCCGCTCCTGTGCGCTCCTGCAGGAAATGACCCCTGCTTAAGAAGTGTAATGACTAGCTCCAAAGCCCCATTCCCTGACTGCTGAAAGTTTTGTGTTTGAATTTTCTTCAGGTATTGGCCACAGTTCCGAGCGTGTATCTTTATAGCTGTAAGGAAAGATACTCTTGCAGTTTGGATCACTTTTGCTAGAATGCCAATTCCATGAAAGGGTGACAAAACTTATTCCACTGGCTGAGTGCGTAGCGGGGGAGAGCAGCGCCACCGAGGGCAGAGGACGCTTTCAGAGCTTAAGTTTTAAAAATAACAAATAGTGTGGGGAATGGGGGAGGGAGATGCATTGTTCATCCGCACTGATGTCATAGGCACTGTCCATTGGCTCATGAGACACATGCCACCAAGTTCCACATCAGATTCCAAATCGCAGTGGCCTCCCTAGCCGGAGGAAAGAATTGCATTGTCCCATTGTGACTGGGGAAAATGCAGTCACTACTGGGAAAATGTTTTCGCTCGGGAGACATAAATGCTTTGTGGAGGGGGAAATCGTGGGCAATAACTGAGCACTTCTTGCATTATTATGTGGGGAAGGCTTGCCGAACCTCATCTGATGTGTGTCCCAAAGGCTCTTTTGCACTAAATCGTGTCTTTACAAGCCGCACACCCACAGCTATCCCATTGATCAGAATCTCTTTCCCCTGATCTGGGAAAAAACCCTTGACCAGTCCTCTTGTTCTTTTCCCTTCCAGATGTCCCAGCTCTTCCTGAACGTGTCGTCTGCTGACGGAAACAGCACCCAGCGGCGGAAAGTGGTGTTCGTGGTGAGCGCCAATGGCTTCTCCTTGTTAACCATCCATTCAGAGGATCTGCCCCTCACCTTCATCTACGTAAGTATTCGCCCTGTATTTTGCTCTGCAGCTGTATTAGAAAAATGACACAGGACTCGCCACTTAGCGTGTAATAGTGGGATGGATGATAGATATGTGGAGGAGGGAAGCGAAGCGGGCAGCAGATTCCAGCATTGTGGTGGACGTCAAATGCTGCGATCACCTTCCTATCAGGACAGACAAGCTGCCGTCAGATGGATGGATAAGGTCTAGCCAGAATACAAGGTTTGTCTTCATCCTCCCCTTGTGGAAAAGAGCACGTGATGAGCATTGAGTCTGGGCTTTGGAACGGTGCTTCTGTGACCGAGACTGGGCAAATAGTTTGTTGTTCCTTGAATCGGGTGAATAGGTCTTGCAGGTTTTGCACCGCTTCAGAACCTACAAGATCTGTCTGAGCAGAGGTAGTGATGAGACAAAAGAACTAAAAAAAACCCTGAAAACACAATTTTCCTATCTCCAGGCCCCCATAGGAAAATACTGTGCCCATGTGTGAAAGAACATAAAAAGAGCCCTGTTGTATCAGATCAATAGTCCATCTAGTCCGGCCTCCTGTCTCACACAGTGGCTGACCAGTTCCTCTGGACGGCCAACAACAGGGCATAGAGGCCGAGGCTTTCCTCGGATGTTGCCTCCTGGCTCTGGGATTGAGAGGATTAGTTGCCTCTGAATGTGGAGGTTTCCCTCACCCACCATAAATCTATCTAATCCCCATTAAAGGTAAAGGTAAAGGTTCCCTTGCTCGAAAGCCAGTCGAATCCCCATTACAAAGCTGTTTATTCTTGTTGCCATCACTGCATCCTCTGGCAGCAAATTCCGCATTTTAATCACTCTCTGTGTAATGTAGGTATTTCCTTTTGTCTGTCCTGAATGGATGCCCTGGAGTTCTAGTATTTTGGGAGAGGGAGAAAAATGTATCTTTGTCAACTCTCTCCACACCCTGCATAATTTTATAAACCTCTATCACGTCTCCCCTGAGTCATCTCTTTTCTAAACTGAAAAGTCCCAGACTCTTTAGCCTTTCCTCGTAGGGAAGGTGCTTCAACCCCCCTAATCATCTCGGTCGCCCTCCTCTGTACTTTTTCCACCTCTGCAATGTTGTTTTTGAGATAACGGTGACCAGAACTGTACACAGGCCCCGTTCACACGCCGAATTTGCCACGGGAGAGCCACGAATGCTGGGTGGATTTTCAGGGCACGATCGCACCGCAACATCTGGCAAGCGTAGCGCACCCGCGGTCAACCTGTGGCGAGCCGCCAAAGCTGCGCGGTTAAAAAAGTGTCTCAACAAATGTACTAGCAAATGGTTGGCCACAGGCTGCCGACGGAATCATTCCGTGTGATCGCGCCGGTGATCCCCCAGCTGTCCTCCTTGACGCACACGCGCTGACGGACGAAACCGCGGTGTGCCGCCATCGCGTCTGATCGCGTTCTGGCGGGTCTAATTGCGCCGGCGCAAAGAGCCATGCCTCCCCCCCCCGCGTTATCTGGCCCGTATGACCGGAGCCACAGTATTCCTAATGAAGCTGTACCATAGATCTATACAGGGGCATTACAATATTGGCCATTTTATTCTCAGTCCCTTTTCCTAATAATCCATCACATAGAGTTTGCCTTTATTATTATTATTATTATTACTACTACTACTACTACTACTACTACTACTACTACTACTACTACTACTACTACTACTACTACTACTACTATTATCATTATTATTATCAATAATAATAATAATAATAAAAATAAAAATAACAATAATAATAATCTTTCAATTTATTAATAGCTCAATCCTGCAGAGCTTGTTGGCTCTGAGCGATTTACAGTTACTCAAATACACACGGGACTAACAATGATTCACGG